AGACCATTTAAATAGCTTATTTGCCTACTATGACTCACGATTGTCGAGAAAAAGTCAATCCACTTGCATAGGAAGGGGGCTGTGGAGGGGGTGGTCGACACATGTGCCACTTTAAAAAAAAATTATATTGAGGGTGGCATTTTCGGCGAGCTGAAGAGTTTATTTTTTGTTTTTTTTAAACTCAGTAGTAGTGGGTGGCACAACTCTCTAGTGAACATATCGCAACATAACCCCTCGAAACGTTTCCCAGATCTGCTCATTATGAAGAGACGTTACACATCACTCAACGCTTGGACATTTGTCGCTCTCTCAGTCTCTGTTGTTGGTGGAATTCTATTACGTAGCCGAGTCTCTCGCTTCGCACCTTTTTTTGCCCATGCGCCGTTTCCCTGGTCTGGCCTGCTGATTACCAAAGTCATTCTCTGATACACTAAAGTAATACGTCGGCATAGCTAGAGCGACGTGGCCTCCACGGCCTTGCCATGTTTCTGTTTTGTAAGGCTGTGGGCAGCAACGCAGTCGCCGCGGCTTACCCGTGTATAGGTTTACTTTAAGCAGATTTCTGATCGTTAATGCTGCATAAACTTTATGGTTTGTGTCCGCTGCGGTGGCCGCGCAAATGAACGCAGGCCAAGTAAACCCACAACTCACCATAACACATCCAAACACAGGACTAGTGAACCAACGGACAAGTTAACACGCAGAAAAGTGAATACCGGTATATAGAACATAGACAGCTGAACCCAACAACTGGGTTTGAAACGGCCTTGCTGAGATAATTGTCATTCTTGACTTGTTCTTGTAAATTTATTTTCACTGCTAATTCGCAATGATTGGTTCCGAAAGATTTCAGCTACTTTTATAAATATGTAAATGTTTTTAATGTGCTGAAAATTATTTTACAAAATTGTATAAATAACCATTTTTAATATTTTTATTATATTTCTTGGGCAGATTTTTGTTTCCTAAACTGAGTCTATTGATTTCTTATTAAAAAAACATTAACATGTTCAACAATATTGTTTACCATTTGTAAAAATATCTAGAAAATTCTTATCTTTTATGATAATTTCACATTAATATGCTTTAAATTTCATTTTATTTGACTCCTATATTTCTAATATTGCTTAATTGAATTTTTTTCTCTGTTTAAAGTGGTCCACTTAGGATTTTCCATTTATCTTTGACGTCAAATGTATTATGAGGAAAAGTATTATTACCACATACTTTAAAATTTGCAAGGTTTTTTCTATTATATTCTCTACATAATGATTGAATTTTTTTTTATTACATGTCTCATAAACAAAATTCCGAAGTTTTTATGATATTATTATTTTTATTAGGCTTGAGGCTAGTGGGTTGTTGGGAAAATTCATTCATTTATATTCTATCAATTATAGCTATATACTTAAATTTTTTTTTTTAATTAACGAGTGGAATGTGTTCATGATGTATGCATCCAATGTTGTTCAAATAACCTTTAATTTTTTTAATAAGCATTTGTCAGTGTCTTTTTCAGCTTTTATCGATATAGCATTTTAATTTTTTTTTTCTGAGGTCAATTGATGAATCAGGAGGAATAGTTTTGGAACTACATAATTGAAACTTTGCATGCTTATTTATATTGACATTCTTTACTTAATGGTTTTTAAACAAATATCTCAAAGGAAAATTTTTCAGAATTTTTTTATTTATGTATTTTTTTTTATTAGGTTCGTGTGTTAATTTTTTTTCTATCTTTTCTGTCTTAGTTTTCTAATTGTTTTTTAATTCATGAATGATATATGTACATGGTGTATGCATCCTATATCGTTCATGCAGCCCTCTAATTTAAAAAAAACACAATTTTATACTTTTTTTCATTTTTCTCAATTTTGCATTTTCCTGATTTTTTAGGAACGCCAAATGAATTGGGAGGAAAAGTATTCTAGCTATAGCCTTCAAACATTGCATGCTGCTTTTCATTGATATTCTTTACAAAATTCAAGAGGCTTTTTTTATATACCGGGTATATCCAACTAGAAAAGGTTTATAAAATTTTTACATTTGCTACTCCTGAAGAGTTCTCGAATATTTACGTAACCCCCACATACATGCTATTTGTAACACTTCCAATAACTGCTGTGTAATAAGCTTCTTTAAACTTTATGTCAATGTTATTCTTAATGTGTATGCCAAGTTTCATTTAAAATACAGTACAATAAGTTACAATACAATGCAATACAAATTTGTCTTTATTCATTTTGCGTAAAAGTCAAAATTGGTATAAAATGTTTAATTTTTTGCAATAAAAGTCACAACAAATTTTTAAAAAATAAACTTTAGTGGATTTTTGTCTTTCTGTTTGTGTATGGTTTGTATGTACTATATTTTTTTCAATGGCTCTATTTATTTAGGGTTATCAGTATTTTATTTTCAATGTGGCATGACTTAGTTGCCTTGAAACCAAACTCCCTTCACAGATCACATATATTTGCTCCCACTCAATCATTACATATGTACTTAAATGAAGAAATGATAGAAACAATAGTTAACTGTATGGGTACCAAAAAGGAATGTGAGAAAGTAAAAGGAGACAAATGGCAAAGGAATAATGTGACCTAATTGAATGAGTTTATTGGCTGCCTACTCCTTACTGGCCCCTAATTTATTTTATGGATTACTTGAGTACACAACTCAAATAACTAACAACTAAACAAAAATGTTCTCAAGTCAGTTAAGGTTTTTTTTTATATTAAATTTTAAATTATGTACAACTGTTAGACCCAGTAGACAGATATGGTAAAAAAAAAGACGAGCCCTCCAAAAATAAATCTCTTTCTCATGCTTTATACAATGGCATCCTTTAACTTTAAGATGTTCATTGCAACTACGTTGTGAATTAGGTCAAGTCAAATGTGAAAAGTTGTTGAAAGGAGATTCGAGATATCAGAAAAAACAGTCAATGTCCGCATGTATGACTCCCAGTGCCAAGGAAAAAGTTTAAAATTGGTGGTTTTGTTCTGACTAAGCCAAGCTCTCTAGAGGAATAGTTGAAATTAATTCACTATGAATGCAATTTTCATTATTTAGAATACCTATTAATTCATAAACTACTGTGTGATTAAATCTTTTAACTTAAACAATACACATTAATAATCTTACATAAAGGATTTAATTTTAATAATAAAATTAATATTATTACTTTTCTAAAATCCAAATGAAAACAATAAATGTATGTAAATCATCTTCATTACTAGATTTTTAAAAAAAAATGATCTATGAAAATGGATTAAACTAAAAAAGAAAATAGGAAAGAAAAAAAATCTACCCGTCCTAAGTGAAATTAACATAGCAAAAATAAAAAAACAACTAAAAAGAATAAAACTATGAATCCATGAAATAACAAGGAGAAAAACAATTTAAAAAAAAGAATTATCATACTATTATTGTTATCACACCCGGCTCTGAGCCATTTAATCTGTACGGAGCCACTCCGGGTGTGAATAGTCATTTGCGATTAAAGATACCCGGGTACCTATAGATGCAGCCAAAAGTTAATGTCTCAATAGATACTTTTTTTTTTTTGGTTTAATTTTTAACGTTGTAAGTTTTAAGCGGGTCGCTTACAGCATAGGCAATGAAAGTAGCTTAAAATCGTATCCACGTCAATAATAATATGGCTTATGTGGGGCCAATGTTATGGCTTTAAGTTTACAACTTGTCTGTGATAACTGTGTAATTATTCTGATTGAATAAATGGCTTCAGCAAAATAAATCCCGTCTACAGTTTACTATAATGATTTTAAGTTAAGTATATTGGAGTATTAACTTGACGATCTATTTTTATTTAGGCCATACAAAATTTAGGTCTCTAACTTACTCTAACTCTAACACTGTACCGGATTTTGCACGGATCTGGGATATTTATGCCATAATTTAATTTTATGATGTTAAATTATTTTTAGTATATTGTTATTGTAGCGCTCTTCATTCTTAGGAGTGATCCCCATACAGCAAACTCTCACAGTAGGTGCTTTACTGATTGGGCTATGCCTATATAGTTATAGTTATAGTCTATACTATAAACTAAATGTTGTCTTGGGGCAACTACAAGTTACAAGCCTTACAATTTACATTACAATTACAAGCAGAACAACTCTATACTATTCTTATTCTATGGTATACTTTCATCCACACTTGGATATGTACAATAAGTAACCATGCCGGGTAAATATAACATATTTCTTTATTTACAGGACCATACTGGATAACAATACTTTCACAAACATCCTCTCCTCACTACATGGACATTAAGGGGCCATGCATCAACAAATAACTTCTCACAAATTTTGCACTTCTTTGACCAGCCCTCCCCACATGGGCACAATAAATGTCATAAAATGTTAGACCCCTCCTCAAATATTATGTCACACACCTCTGCAGTCTGCACCCCCCTCTATAAAAATCCATTTACATTTGTCCTTAAAATTCACCTCCTATGGACATTGAAAAATTACTGCACCTGTGTCAGAAATATTTCCCTTGTACAGTGGTTCTTAAACAGGGTTGAAAGCACCCCAAGGTGCTGAAGACCCAGAATATTGTATTTGTTGCCATTGCTAGTTGTTGCTGCCTTTAACTTTAAAAAAAATCAGTTTTTATGTATTTTAATTAGCGTCAGTAAATGTTTTTTCTGGTGAATTTTTTCTTGTTTCTAGAAAAGTTAATTAGAGAAATTGAATTTAAAAAGCTATATAATTTATTTTCATTTTAAAAAATGTGTTACTGTTACGCATGTGTATGCCTAATTTAAGGGTTATGACCACCACAACTTGTCTCCCCTTTGTTTTTCTTTTTGATATTCACATTACAGATTAAATGTGCTGTGCCACTTTGTTACATATTATTCATTCTATTAGCTGAATCTTTACACCAATTAAATTTTCAAAACCATATAAGGATACGTTACAATTACAATATAATTTATACAGGGGGGTGGTTGTGGAAAATTTTTTTAAATTGAGAGGTTAAGCAGTGCAGCAAAAATATCCTAGAACATTCACTAATATCCTCTCGACCACCCCAACCATTTTACACCCATCCCACTTCACATGATAGCCCTAATTCTCCACATATTGACACAAATTCTCATGACTGTCAATGTCACTACACCCCAATTATCCTTCTCTTTGGCATCCTGTAACTTGATTATAGTAACCCCCCTCCCCCTCATCATAAAAATTTGACTCTTCCTCCCCCACTAGACACATTACATCATTTATGGATGGCCCCTGATACTACTCTTGACACTGCCACACTAGGCTAGGACTTGAACTTCGCCAATAACTAACTACAGAACTCTTATCATCACTCAACATTAATAATAATTCGACACACTTAACTGCCACCCTGTGTTCATACAGTGTTTAAACACCTTACTTGTTTATTGACCTTGCATAACTCGACCAATCACAACTGTCCGTCACAAAACTGTTAACCAACTAATGATGAACAATTATTCCATTCCAACAACCTGGATATGCTCCCAAAACCAGTTCATAACAGTTATAAAGTTCTACTAGTAAATGGTTAAGTATATTTTAGTGAATTTAATCATATATCTAAACGGCCATTATTGCTTTAGTGTATTTGATTATTAACAATTAATTTTCAAGATGCAATAATGATGGCACCCTGGGGTTTCCAAAGATGCTTGATTGAATTCCAGAATATGATTCCGGAAAAATTGACTTGTTGAACCGATTTGCTTGGGAGTTATGACCGGAATTTAACAAAAAAATTAATTTTTGTACCAACTGTGGGTGCCGAAAACAGGTTTGATGATTTTTTCCCTGGAGTTTCCAGTTTAATCGCCTTTTCTGTCTGACATGGACAGTCATCACAGTCGACTTTGGAGCATTCTGTTTTTTAAAAAAGTCAGAAAAACTGTACATTCGTGGAAACAGTCGTCAAACCTGTTTACAGCCCAAAGATGGAACTGAAAATGTTAGTTTTTTAAATTAAAAATTCCTAGCAAATCTGTTACACTGATCAAATTTTTGCACCCTGATAAAGTTGGCGCCTTAGCATTATAAATTTACTAAGTAAAGCAATTTTTTATAACACCAGGTCAGGGAATGTTACATTCTTTTAGCCTAATGCTGATTCATTTAAACTTAAGTTATATAAGTCAAGATAATTTATAATTTTACTGCTCCATTAAATCATTAACATTTTTACAAGTCAAATTTTAAATAATTCATTCAAGGCCTAATCAAATCATTTTCATGTCCAATAAATGGAAGCATACAAGTAACAATATGCCTAACCCATACTGTAGAGTGGCATAACAAAGGTCATGAGGTCCACAAAAAAAAGACAAAATTGTTTCCCCTTAAAAAGGGATGTCAAAACTCATTAATTAAACATATTTATATATGCTAAATAATTCAAACAAATATACTTTAAATTTTATTGTCAGATATCTGGAAATTTTAACATAAAATATCTGAAAATTTGCCCATTAATAATAAATCGCATACAAGTTTTTCTTTAAAAATGTACATCAAAATTAAATGTATGTTTCTCTCTAGGTTTCAACTTAAATGAAACTTTTGTAAAATTTTAACCATGAAAATGACACCTCATACAATGTTGTGCCTATGTCACCCTAGCTTCACCACCAATAACCAAGCTGCAATGTTAATTTGCTTAATTTTTAAAAAATAATATTAAAGCACATTTAAATAATTTTGTTGTTGTATTTTCTTATAATTTGTGAAGCTTATAGACTCTAATTATAAGCTTACGATTTTCAAAAAAAAAAAAATCGTATCATCAAAGCAAACGTCACTCTTGATATATCTTAGCATATTTAACCATTTTAATCTTCTTCATGATTCATTTCCCTTTTCTTTCAAATGCTACACTAATGTAAATTAAGGAGAGCTTTTATTTGCATTCGCTCACATTATGAAAAATGTATCATGTTAAAACTATGCCATTCTGACTGAAACTCTTGGAATGAGTTCAATGCAACAAAATCAAAAAGCAAAATGAAAAAATTAATTTAGGGTGTTAAAGGATGAGTTTTGTATGCCTCCTCATGACCATACATCCAAAGAGGACTTAATTTTCTCTTAGATTGGCACTGGATTTAATTAAGAAACTTAACTTGTCCCTGGAGGATAAATGGTCACATTTTAAGAGAGAACAAATTTAGACTCCAACATCACTGAGTTATCTACCTGTTTATCCATTTATTTCATGTGAATCATATGATTAGAGATGAATATTTGCTTCTTTAGACCAATTTACAGTTGGTTTGAAACATTATTTTATCTACAGAATTTCAAAATCTCCTGTTATAAATGATATGATCTATTAAAAAATAAAAAAAATATTATTATTATGATTGCTATCAGCAGTTTATCTTGTCTTAAAAACTTGCTTTAAAAATTAAAATGATAAAAGAATGGATCCCACCAAATTAATATTTTAAAATAAACTAACCTCTTCTTTTCACAATCCAATCAACTGGAACAAAACTGTGACAGTCAAAGTTAAATTGTTTCTAAATCAGTTAAAAATAGATAATCGGACCATGTTAAAACCAAAATATTTTATATAGTGTTATGAAACAAAGTGGATAGAAAATACAGAAACTATAACTTGATTCTGCCCTGAATTCTTAAAGTTACAATTGTACTCCCCATTTTGCTTTTAATGTCAGTGGTATGGAGCAGATCATTTTAGCTCTTACAATTAAACAAGGAAAGACAAAAAAATGTTTACTTCTCATCTTCTGCTTTAGACATAATAAAAGTTTTGTTTATAAGCATTAAATAATAAACTTAAGTAATGGCTCTGAAAATTTAATAGCATGAGGATCAAGTTTTTATTGCAAATGTTTTCATGAGGAGCCCAATCTGTCAATGATAAAGTACTTGCTGCCAGATTCCTTGAATTCATGCCAAAGCTTCTAAGAATTACTTATTTGAGATAAATGAGGGTGATAAGAAATTGTTATGTTTAATTGCAGCTGAGAGACTTAATACTTCACTAATGAGTGGAGCTTTGGGCATTGCTTGAAAACTGGACAGTACTTGACCAGTGGGCATTCAATGCTTGGACACTTGACATTGAAAATTTAAAATATGCCTTCTCGTAAGACAAATTGGAGGCAATTTTATGATAGGAAAAATGTTCAAAGTATTTTGATGAGCAGATTGAGGAATTTTCCCATTGGGTAAGATTTATCATACTAAATCAGGGGTGGGCAAACTATGTTTTGTGAGCCTCTGTTTTGAATGGCTCCCTTTAAAAAAAATTAAATACCAGTCACCAAAAAATAATCATAAAAATGGAAAAGAAATTGAAGTTTAATTTATATTTTCGGTTGCAAATGTCATTACTATATGGGGTTGTTACACTTTTCTGGTAGCATAATAACTTCCCTATTCCCTATGATTCCCACCTCCCCCCCCCGGCTTCCATGCCTCGGTTACCTCTTGAATCTGGCTCGCAGCTACAAAAGTTTGCCCACCCCTGCACTAAATCAAAGTGTTATGATTTGTGAATATGCAAATAGCTATTCAAAAACTTTGATAATATATAGATGAATTGGAATCAAAAACCTTCTTTATACCGTATCTCTTTTAAAAACAACTTAAATAAGCCTTCCAAAGATGTGCTTTTAAATGTATGCTTTAATAACGCCAAGTCTCTTTTCTGACTGCTTATGCTGCCCATTAGTCAAAGGAGATTTTATATGTGCTAAGTTTTTATTTATCGTTTCCTTTTTTGTTAAGTTGTAGGAGAATCTTTAAAAACATTTATTTATTTATCTTTGGTGTTCATTAACATAAATATTTATTATGAATCATTTAATTTTAACAATCTATACTTTATATTACAAATGAAAAAAAGGTTGATACATTTTTTAAAATTTCATTTCATCAAAAAAAAAAAAATGATATTGATATGTTTTTTGAGAGATTAGGGCTACTAGGGTTAGTCTATAAAATTTTCAAATACATGATTTGAGGTTAACACCAAAGCTAAATGTTGATACATAATTTTTTCTGCTTATACTAACAATCACTTGCTTACAAATTACATAAATCATTGCTTCCATTTTCCAATTTTATTTAGGTCATTTGTTGCGTAATTCATTTCTTCTAAACTGGAATATAAAATATTTCTCTAATTACCCAAAAATAATTTAGTTGTTGACTTTCATTCAACAGGCGCAATGCCAAAAAGTCAGACAGAGTTGAACTAGGGCATCATCATGACCTCAAAGACCTGAAAAATGCTATTAAAAAACAAGAGGAAAGGGTCAAGTCCTCTGTGTGCTCGATAGTGTTCTGTGCCACAGCTGTGAAGACACTTGCTCTAGTGGTTTTCTATTATGTGTTTTCAATTGGTCTGACATTCTACAACCAGCATATGTTCCAGGTACTGCTTACTTAAATTCAGATTGTATATGGGCCAACATTCCCTCCACCAATCCTGTATTTGAACACTCAACCTATTCCGTTTATTACCTGTTGACTCATGATAAAAGATGACAAAAATAAAAGCTAAGAAAGAAACAGCATAACTGTGTAATATGTGTGTAATATTTGTATAATGTCTGTGTGATATTTCTGTAATTTTTTAATTCTTTGAGGTGTGTGTTGATCATCTTTTTGGCAATTTTTTTAAAATCTCCCAGCATGGCCACCTGGCACTTTCCACCACCATGTGTCACCTGGTGTTCAAGTTTGTCCTGGCTGCCTTCATCAGGCATTTGTTGGAGTGGAAAACTTCAGAACCCAGGGTTACTCTCACGTGGGTTGTTTATATCAAAAGGGTGGCGCTAGCAGGTGAGATGGGGTCTTAATTCAACCTATGCTGTAACTATTTAAATTTGATTGGAATTCAAATAATAATAGTGGTACTCGGAAAATATTTAAGGCATTAGAAAATTTTGTGAAAATATAACCCTTTCATTTTGTTAAGTTTTTTAACATATTTTACTATTAATGTTATAACTGGCACTTCTGAAACTATAAGAGGGGGAACCCCCCCCCCCCCCCCCTTTTTTTTTTTTCCCCCCTTTTTTTTTTTTATCACTGCTGTGCCAGGTTTTCATATTATTTATGTTATTTTTTTAACCCTGTAAAATTGGCCTCACTAAACTAGGCTCTAAAAAAAAATAAAATAACTGAACTTGCTTCCCACCAAATGATACTTAAAAGTGCATACATTTTTTACTCTTCTAACGTATCTATTAATTAACTTCTACTTCAAGGTTGTGTGAGTTCACTTGATATTGGTCTGTCAAACTGGAGTTTTGAAATGATTACTGTTTCCTTGTGAGTTATATCCCTTACTAAATCTTAACATTCACTGCATTAAATATTGATAATAGGGGAATTTGTAAAAATGTTTTTGAGGTAGTATGTAAATAAACATGTTATTTCATCATTAAGATTATAAATAAGCAGCTTTATTGATTTTTAAATAATGGATTTAATTACATTTTAAGTAATTCAAGTAATATGGCGACTCATATTTTTTAAAAATAAATCAGGATAGCTTCATGTTTGCTTATTTGTTAATAAATCAGCATTGTTCCTAATTTCAGATACACCATGTCAAAGTCAACGGCTGTGATATTTATTCTTTTTTTCTCACTTTTTTTCAAACTAGAAAAATTTGTAAGTAAAAAAAATACAGGATTTTCACAAGCAGAAAGTCATTTGAGATAGTTTAATGTTAATTTATTTATTATCTACTTTTAAGAATATTTATCCCATGCTAACTTGAATAACTGTCCTGATAACTATGAAATTTAGTTAAGTCATGGCATGAGATCTAAGACTAAGAAAATAATGGTAAAGCTAGAAGTCTGTTGTAGGTTGATAACAATAGCTAAGTAAGTAAACTGCAAACTTATCTAAAGTTTATTTAGTAACATTTCTATTTCAATCAAAGAAATGTTATTTTAGTATTACTTAAACAAATGATTGAACTGAAAAATGACAGTTAAAATGTCATCATCATCGAATGTTAAAAAAAAAAATGTTTTATAACAGCTCTCAGTGCCTTCAATGTTGTTTTATAGTGCAAATTAATAAATGTTTAATGCTTCCACTTCAAAATATTCTTCTTGCATTGGCCAAAAACATCATTGGTAGATCCTGACCACTGTTTTAAATATTAGAACTTTACATACTCTTTGCAGATAAATTGATATGATTTGCCTGTTGATGGTCATAGCTGAACACTATTTTATTGCCAGCCCCACTTGTTTACCAGATTTTCTTGTTGACTTGATTTTGTTAATTTTTCTCCCTCCAGCGCTGGAGTTTGGTCCTTGTTGTGGTGTTCATCTTCTTGGGTCTCTTCCTGTTCACCTACCATTCCACTCAGTTCAACCTCCAGGGCTTCATCCTGGTCATGTCAGCTTCCATGTTGTCAGGCCTGAGGTGGACCCTGGCCCAGATAGTTTTACAGAAGCATGAAATTGGTGAGACTGGAAGGACTCAGTTTCTTTTTTCCTCCCCTTATTTTGGTGTTATATCCCTTTCAAATTGCTTGGATCATGTTTTTTGTTTTGTTTCATAAATATGTCTTTCAAAGAATTTTTAAAAGATCTGCCCATTATGTAAAACCCCTTTTAATTTTACTTAACATACGCCAGAGTGCTTTTCTTAGACTTCTCATTAGCATTTAACACCATCCAACCACACCAATAAAGAAACTTTCCTCGTTAGGTGTCAATTTAAATATTCAGGCTTGGATACTGAACTTTTTAACAAATCTTCCACAATATGTCAAAGTAAATAACCAAGTATCTCTAACCAGAGAAATAAGCACCAGGGCACCACAAGGCTGCGTTCTCTCTCCTGTACTGTATACAATATATACAAATGATATTCAAAGCTCAAGCAACACCGTTCCAATCTTAAAATTTGCTGATGATACCACGATTGTTGGCTTAATATCTGAAGGAGAAGGCCTATACAGTAACTTAGTAACAAGCTTTATCAATTGGTGCGATGAACATTTTCTCCAGCTTAATGTCTCAAAAACAAAGGAAATGGTTGTTGATTTCAGGAGGGGGAAACACCAGATTACAGATCTCAACATAAAAAATCAAAGTGTAGAGAACATGGAGGCATACAAGTACTTAGATATTACAATTAATAATAAGCTAACATGGCATGAGCAAAGCCAAATGCTGTATAAGAAATTCAACCAAAGACTGTTCTGCCTCAAAAAACTGTAAAATTTCGGCGTAAACAAAGCATTAATTTATTATGCAACAATTGGAAGCCTACTTAATTTCAGTATTACCTGCTGGTGTGGGAATTCAAAGTCTGATATTAGACACCGCGTTAACCGACTAATCAAGAAAGCTAGAAACATAACACAAACTAAATATCCGTCACTTGAAGAACTATTTGAAGAAAGATGCTTTTGCAAAACTAAACACATTTTGGATGAGACATCCCAGCCTCTTCATCACAGATACTTAGGATCGGGCCGTTCGGGACGAATTCTTTCCATCAGGGCGAGGACTGACCGATATACAAATTCTTTTGTTCCCCAATCTGTACGAATTTACAGGCGTGCTTCCTCTGAAGTCACACATCTGAATGAGAACTAATAAGTCCATGATTTTGCTAAGAGAACTCACTGAATGGCTGTTTGAAATAATTTATTATAAATGTCTTGTGTTCAAATTGTTTTATTTTTGTGCTGAAAATATATAATGCAATCAAAAAACATTTCCGTTTATTTGGATCAATAAAAGATTCTTATCTTATCTTATTTTTTGGTGTGTGAATTTTGAGGGAAGAACAATAGTGTATAAAGTCACATTTAGTACGGCTGGTGACTTGTCAACATGCTGATCTTCCCTTCACAAGCAGCACACACTTGATCATGTATGCTACAAAACTATGGGGAACTTCAGTTAAACTATATTTCGGAAAGTTTATGTAACTGTCAGTGTTTTACCTTAACATTGTCTCTCTCAGTAATTTGTCTTTTGTTTATTGAATGGTAAAATCTCTTGGCAAATCCTAATATGATCTACAAAAAAAAAAATGGATGCGGATAAAAATTTTTTGTTTTAAAAAAAAAAAGAAGAAAAAAAAGCTTTCTAGGCTAGATCCAGCAATTTTGTTCTCAGGTTTACACAACCCAGTAGATATGATGTACCACATTCAGCCTTGGATGATGTTATCACTTCTACCTCTCTCGGCTGGTATTGAATGTAAGTAAATTAGTGCTAATACTTTTACCTCTCTCAGCTGGTATTGAATGTCTAAGAGTGCTAATGCTTTTACCTTTGTGAGCTCGTAATGAATGCAAGTAAAACAGTGTTAATACCTTTTTGCCTGTGTCAGCTGGTGTTAAACTTATGTGCAGGAGAAACTAACACGGGAGAAGGTTTGACATTTTAGAATTCATAAATAATCAAGCAATAAGCAACTCTGTAAATTCTTGTTTTTTTTGTTTGTTTTTTTTAAATTATAGTAATATTAGTAATATCATCATTTAATTTAATTTAAAATGTTGTTCAATTTTTTATGTTCAGATGCATCAACATTTTTATGTTTCTGTTTCCAGTGCAGGCGATCTCCACCACTGACCAATACTTCCGCTTCTCTCAGTGGTCAGTATTATTCACCACTGTAGGGTATGTGCTGCTTGGGGCAATGCTAGGCTTCATGCTAGAGTTCAGTGAATTTCTGCTTCTCTCTCACACATCAAGTCTGACCATGTCCATAGCTGGCATTTTTAAGGTACTGTGTCATAACGAAGTACAATCCCCTTTTGTTTCATCTGTGTTTGGTGAATTAATTTTAAAATAAAAAAAAAAGCAATGGAAATATATTTTTTTTGGACAATAACTTAGACTTTGTGGTACCCGGTACATAAAGTGTGTGGTACCCGGTACATAAAGTGTGTGGTACCCGGTACATAAAGTGTGTGGTACCCGGTACATAAAGTGTGTGGTACCCGGTACATAAAGTGTGTGGTACCCGGTACATAAAGTGTATGGTACCCGGTAGTAAAAAGTAGAAAATAAGAATAAATACTGGTATTTATGACGAAGGGAACAGATGGGTTGCCATATTTGTGAGGCCTTGCTTCAAATTATCAAGTACGGTAGATTTTTTTTCTGATATTTAATTTAAATATAAGCCTTATGCAAATTGTTCCCCTAGCAAGTATAACTTATAAAAGGAGATAGTAAATAAGAGATATTTCGGTTTACTTTGCACTTTGCCCAATATTCTGTCAGAAAAGAGGTTTTGTAAGTGGCTAGGGTTGGTTGTTTCAGCCCCACCTCTGCCGTAAGCCAATAGGGAATTATTTTTGACTCTTCACCTACAACAGCAACAGTGGGGATGAATAAAATCTTCAATCAATAAAACCATTGTGATACTGTCTCAACCCCATTGTTTCATAATAATAAGAATTGCTTCATCTTCATTCATGAATTCAAAGCACAACATATTTCTAATGCTTCTTGTGAAATGTTTCAGGAAATCTGTATCCTTGGCTTAGCAATCCTCATAAACCATGACAAAATAAATTGGATAAATGGCCTTGGCCTGGTGGTGTGCTTGGCTGGGATTACAGTACATGTCATTAGCAAGGCAGTTGTCAGTAAGTTAGAACGACATCAACTAGTTATTTACTGTAAATGTCATTTAGTAGCAAGGCAGTTGTCTGTAATTTAGGATGACATCAGCTGGATATTTATTGTAAATGTCATTTATTAGCAAGGCAGTTTTCAGTAACTTGGTATGACGGAAGCTAGACATTAGAAAACAAAACTATAAATTGCGAATCAAACTACCGAAATAATTTCTCATAAATTATCCTTTCTTGATATTGTTCAGCCACTATGTAATTTCATTACCAGTGAAAGCTTAATTATTATCTCTAGTCATATTTTTGTAATTGAAATTTTTTTTAGCAGAACTTGAAAGTTCTGTAATTATCCTATAGTTAATTGTAACAGTAATAATTAATGGTTATTTATTTTAATTTATTTTTTAAAAATAACTCAATTGCAGCCAAAGAAGAAACGTCTGGTCGTGTGGTAGATGTGTCTGTGGAATCCCTGAAAATGTTGAAAAGGAATGGCGCTGCTCATGAAGAATCTGACAGTGATGAAGTGGATCTGTTTCGTATAGACAGGGACAGATAGTGGATGCAAGCCATGTAGGGTGTAGAGGAGGACAGACCATGGATGATTCCGAATGGGATCAAGTTACAGTTGCTAGGAAACCTTTTAAACAGTTTTAATGCCACATGTTTTTTTGTCTTTCAAAACTGTTCAGTGGACCAAGCATTGTTACGGATACAGTTCAGTGGACCAAGGATTGTTACGGATACTGTTCAGTGGACCAGGCATTCCAGGCATCTTTCTGAAATAGTGATATAACAAAATGACCAACCAGCTCAAATTTGGAGTCACCTAGGCTTGGGTCAGGTGTCAATATTACTATGTTATGACATAATCAAAGGTCTCCGTAATGTTAATGTGCAAAAATATAATTTTGGATGCAAATTCTGAATGATTGTTTTGAAACAAGAAAAAAAAAAAGCAAATTTGCTCTTAGACTCAATAGACAAATGATGAAATATATTTTTGGCTCATGAATTAAGAAATAGTAATTGGAAATGGCAGATTAAACTCATACTATGTTAGACTGAGAAGATTAACTGGTCACTCATTAGGGTTTAAAATTTATTTAATTACAACACAGAAAAATGTAAGTTGAATTATATATATATATATATATATATATATATATATAGAGAGAGAATAACTCATGGTAATAATGTTATTGTTTTTAAAAAGACCATTCCTCGGGTTTGAACCTGACGCCTCTCAGAGTGACATTTCACCATCTGACATCCTTTCCCAACCATCTACATTTTTCAGCACAATTTCAAATAATCCCAGAGTGCAAATTCATACTCTTTGCTCCACAATCCAACTAAAAAAATTGCACAAAATTACTTGAGTGGGAGAAAGTATGTGTTGATTTGCCTGTATTCACTAGAAAATCTATTCACCTCAAAATCTCATTTATGTAAAGCATTAAGCTGAAGCACTTGTGCTCAGCTGATGGTTCTGATGCAGGTGCCTTAACAAATGATTTGTACCATGTCAAGAGAAAGGTATTTAAATAATAATAAGAGTTAGAAATAAATTAAATGATCTACTCTGGGTGCTCAATCAAATAAATCAAACCATTCTCAATATTTTTTTTCTGCCTTTAAAAAAATAAAATGACATATTAAATTTCATGGATATACAGTACCTTGAAAAATGCACTGAATTTATGTGAAGCATGTTTATGAAAATTGTGGTACAGAGCATTCAAATTTGTATTTAGAATTGTCTGTAAAATGGAGTTTGAATTTAAAAAAAGTGGTCATTTAACTTAATTGGCCTTCTGATTACAAATTTGAACTGTCTCAAGTTTGAATTGATTTGTTACTTGTTGAAACAGTTATTTTACTCATTCAGAAAGTAAATACTTATTTAACATAAAGATATTCTTAAGCCAAATTTTTTTAAAAGTGGTTTGGGTAAAATGATTGTCCGTCTAAATATCATTGATGTTTTTGCACAAAGTTGTTGTCTTATGCAAATGCCACTTTCTTGTAAAAATATGTTTTGGTGGAGGAACATGTATAAACTGTAATTATTTTTTAAAATGTTTCATTCGGTGATTTCGGATGTTTTGAGAAAGATTTTAAACAAAGAAAGTTCTATTCAGAGTTTAATATTTTATAATTTATACATTTTTTTAAAAAAAATTGTATTTTACTATACTAATTTCATTTTGTCATTAACTTTCTGGTATTTAATATAAATATTATTTAAGGATAATGTCATTAGAAAAGATGAGCAGGCATTCTAATAAACGAAATATAAATTACACGACTAGAAAAGATCTTATCTATGTCCAGCCTCACAATGAATAGAAAGATCTTATCTGCGTCCAGCCTCACACTGAATAGAAAAGATCTTATCTATGTCACCCTCACAATGATAAGAAAAGATCTTATCTATGCCCAGCCTCACATTGAATAGAAAATATCTTATATTGTCAAGCCTCAAAATTATTAGAAAAGATCTTATCTATTTCCAGCCTCACAGTGAATAGAAAAGATCTTATCTATGTCCAGACTCCCAATGAACAGAAAAAAGATCTTATCTATGTCCAGACTCACAATGTGTAATACAGTTTGCCACTCATCTTTTTTTATTTCACTATCCTTAAACATTGGGGTAGAGCATTATCTTGAACTATACTCAACAATGACTGTAGTCACTGAGACCGCTCTGAATAATATTCCCGTGTTGTCTGTAATGGAAGAACTGGATGAAGAGCCAACTTTGCAGGAGCTCGACAAGGCCATCAATTACCTTGCTGATGGGAAGGCACCAGGGATTGACAGCATTTCAGCGGAAGTCCTCAAAAAAGGCAAAGCTATTCTACTTCAGCCTTTACATGATCTCCTCTGTCTGTGTTGGGAAACAGGAGAGACGCCAACATCGTAACATTGTATAAAAATAAAGGGGACCGAAGTGATTGGAATAGCTACTGAAGAATTTCTCTCCTTGGCTTAGTTGGAAAGACTTTTGCCCATGTTGTCCTTAAATTATTGCAAAGTCTGGCGAACCGCATCTACCCAGAGTTCCAGTGTGGCTTCCAGAGTGGGTGCTCAACTATAGACTTGATATTCTCTTTACACCAAATGCAGGAGAAATGTTGTGAACAGCATATGCCACTTTATATTGCTTTCATAGACCTGACAAAGGCATTTGACTCGGTAAATCGGAGAGGCCTTTTCAGTATCCTGCAAAGAATAGGTTGTTCCCCACGACTGCTCACAAGCATACAGTCATTTCACAATAACATGCACAGCATGATAACTTTCAATGGCGCTGTCTCTGAGTCATTCCCGGTCAGCAGCAGAGTAAAACAGGGTTGTGTACTGGCACCAACGCTCCTTCATTTGCGTTCAGGGACTGTGAAGATGGAGAGTACGTCCATACCAGATCTGATGGTAGGCTGTTCAATATCGCCCACCTTCATACAAAGACCATAGTAAAAAAGGTGCTGATTCAAGAACTGCTGTTCACTGACGATGCCCCCTTAACATCTCACACAGAAGAAGGTCTTCAGGGGTTGGTTAATCGTCTATCACACGCGTGTAAAGAGCTTGGACTTTCGATTAGAAACACATGTAATGATGCAAGAAGCACCATCCCCTCCAATCATATCTATTGAGGGTCATAATCTTTTGATTGTTGAGCATTTCACATACATTGGATCCAATATTTCTAGTTCTCTCTCCCTCAATGAAGAGATAAATATCAGGATTGCAAAAGCAGCAGCAACTATGGCTAAACTGAATAAGCGGGTGTGGAATAATCTCAATCTAACTGATAAAACAAAAATAAGTTTCTACCAGGCATGTGTGCTTAGTACACTCCTATATGGTAGCGAAGTGTGGACCGCATATACTAGTCAGGAGCGGAAACTCAACAACTTCCACCAAAGATGTCTGCGTTGCATTTTACGCATTTGATGGCAGGACAAGGTGGCTAACACTGAGGTCTTGGAACGTGCACACATATTTAGCATATTGTCCTTTCTTAGCAAAAGATGCCTTGGCTGGTTAGGCCACATAAGGAGAATGGAGGAAGGCAGTATCCCAAAGATGCTGCTGTATGGAGAGCTGGCAGAAGGGACAAGACTTATTGGACGGCCATGCCAGAGATTTATGGACGTTTGCAAAAGGAGCATGAGGGAAGCCAATATTGAAAACAACGAATGGGAGCTCATTGCCGAAAAACGTTCCAGCTGGCGAACAGCAGTGTATGAAGGAGTAAAAAAGGCACAAGATCTGCGAAACGAGAGCCTTGCAACAAAAAGAACAATACTGAAGTCAAGATCTTACCAGGAATCCATATTCTCCTGCGAGAAATGCAGTTGAGATCGTCATTCTAGGATTGGCCTAGTGAGCCACTCGTCGAAGAGTAGAACTACATAGCTACTCCATCTTCTCACAGGACGGAAGGAGGCCATATATCCTTAAACAATTAATTTTCTGAATAAGAAACATGTTACTTGCATGCTGCAACCCATCTTATGACCTGTACTTTTTATCAACTGGAGATGCTATTCTGTCATTTTTCTAAATGTTGTGTACTATTTTGCCAATAAAAGTGAGAAACATGCTCAGACATATTTTTGTTAAAAATATGTATACAATTATTGGCATAATTTTTCCTTGAGTTCTATGCGCTTTAAGTACAAAATTCCAAAGATATCTGTGTGTGTTACCATGATTGAACCCTTAAAAAATTGTTATGCCATTAATTATTTTGGTTGTCTAAGAGGGTAAATTTTGTCACAATAAAACACTGCCCATCTCTTGTTTAAGAAATTTCTTACCACATACAGTAGCACCTCGCAATAACAGCTACTCGCTTAATGGCAGGACATTATCTTTTCTATTTGCGTAATTTATATTTCCTTAAAAGAATGTCAAAATAGAGGTGTATTTTTCTTTTTGGAGAAACACCCCCCCCAAATTGTTTTTGATTGTTATTGAAAAATATTAAAGTTGACAAACTGTGAGGTGGGGGTTTCTAGTTTGATGCATGGACCATTTGTGCCTTTTTAAAAAAAATTGTGTTAAAAAGCTAGGAATGAAACAAAAGAGTAATAAAATTTGTAAAGGTTTAAAAAAAAAATGTGTCTTGTCCAATGAACAAAGATGAGATATGTGATGAAATCGTGGAGTTTTTACTGTCAGAAATGACAGGCACCTCTTGGTCAGAATTAAAACAGCATTGCTTTTTAAGAGTACTAAAATTTGGAAAAGTGATGGATCTTATGATGGAAATAACATACCATTTACACTTTTAACTGGCTGCTCAATCTTAAACACTTTATAAAGAGGTTGCCATAATTATGTTTTAAGGTTATTTGATAGCATCAAGTTAAAAGAATTGCCAAACGTGTATCAAGACTGAGTAAAGACGTTTTTTCCTCAATTTATTATGGTAAAAAGAAATTAAAAAAAACTATTCACTCTTTCATTTCACTAGCCACTGGCCATAAACTTTCTTGGTTTAAAAATGATGTTGGGGGGGGGGGTGTTGTTATTTAATGTTAAGACAAAATTTATTGCCATCAATCATTCACAAAAAATTATTTAACAGAAGAATGGATACATTATGTATAGTGAAATGTGAAACTCTTGCATAATTGTTTGTGAAAGTTCCTTTAGCAACATTACTTCCTTAACTGTTTGTGAGCGCTCCTTTAGTAACATTACTTCCATAATTGTTTGTGAAAGCCCCTTTGGTAACATTACTTCCATGATTGTTTGTGAAAGCTCCTTTAACCAACATTACTTCCATGATTGTTTGTGAAAGCTCCTTTAACCATTACTTCCATGATTGTTTGTGAAAGCTCCTTTAATAACATCACTACCATAATTGTATGTGAAACTTCTATAACAGCATTACTTTCATGAATCCCTATGTCACATCACCACAGCATACATTTCATATTCTTTAATCCAAGGGTTTAGCCAAAATATCCTTCATTTCTTCTGAAGACTTGACACATTTTTTTCCCCCTTCTACTTCTAGTCTGTGTCATTTACTGTGTAACAAAGCTTCTTGAATTTCACTGCCCTCCTCAAGTTGTCTTAAGATGCTGCTATATGTACGATAGCTACAACAAAGATGCTGCTATATATACGATAGCTACAACAGCTTTTCTAATTCCACTCAAAATATCTTTGTGCATTAGCTGTGGTATTTGAGATGATAAATACAGAAAGTATATGTGGTATTTTTTATTATAAATACAAAAATCTATCTGAGAAGGTTGGCTTGCACAAAACAAGGCAATCAAATGTTCAAGGCACTCTTATATAAGGAATGTTGTGTACTTAAAAACTTTCGGACACAGCACATTGTGAGGTTTTAGAGTACTTTGGTATTTTGTTTGTATAGATTAAATAAAGGATCAAAGAGTTAAAAACCAAATCAGAGATTTAAAACAAAAACAAATGTGAGATGCTCGTATAATTTAATTCATGTTTTATCATTAACAAAAATTAATAAAAGTGTTTAAAAAAAATTGTATGTTGTAAATATTTTTAGTGATAGTTAAAAATGTATTTTTTATTTCTTATTGAAACCAGAAATTTCCAATTTTTTTTTCTCAATAGTTTCTATAAATTTCAAATACATTTAATCTAGGTCAAACTCGACATAAGGAAACAGAGGAATAAGCCATTTTACTTTAACTCAAATAATCCAGTAATTAATATTGAGCAGCAGGCTTGAAAACTTCCACTTTGTGAAACTATTCATCACCAAGTTTTTAAATTTAACTGAATACAAAAATATGCTA